AGAGAGAGAGAGAGCGAGAGAGAGAGAGAGAGAGAGAGAGAGAGAAACTGACGCAAGACATGATTAGACAAGTAAAGGAGTAACAAATTTCACAGGAGGGGGGAGGAAGAAACTAAGGACATTTCCACTTTAATTCATCGTTCCCCATTTCCAGGCAATGCTTTTGGGGGAATTTCCAACTTTTTTCTTTTTTTTGGTTTCAGAAATTAAAAAAAAAAATTTAAAAAGTCCCCAATATGTAATCTTAAAGAGGAGTTGAGAGAGGTGGGAAGTCAACCCAAGGCAACCTCGCACTTGGAACTCTGAGTCAGGACTGCCGTGGTTGTTACTGGTCTGGTTCTTTACTGGTCTGGTTCTGAACTTGATTTCTCCAGTGACTTGACCAGCGTCTCACCTGCATTCTGAGGGCGTCGAGCACAATTCCATGTAAACCCTTTCTTTCCCGAATTTTGCGGGAAAATATTCTGCCTCTCCAGGTTGACTAGAACACAGAGAACCCCAAAATATCATGAGGTGGCATCTAGAAGGGAGGCTCGTCACTTCCCCGGGCTGCTAGGGGGAGGGGAGCTCCCATGTGCTTTGCTCTTACACGATATAGTCACAGCTATTGTAATTGGAGAAATGAGGAAGTCAGACAGAAAAAGAAAGGTAGCAAGTGAGGATTTCCCCCTTGTCAGATTTTTAATGTTTATAATAGGAAAATGCATGCGTTTTACAAGTTAAAAACTGCTTGGGTATTTTCCAACCCCATATTGCTTGCTAGAACAATGGCTGGAGTTAAAAAAAAAAAAAAAAAAAAAAAAAAAAAAGGGCTGCAGTCCTAGCTGTCCAAAGTTCAATAAACAGACCTGGGCTGGGAACTAAAAAGAGGAACATTAAACGGAAACATTATGTCCCCAAACTTAACTATTTGGAAGAAAAACCCAAAGGTTTAAAACAATCTGTTGCTAAATGCTATTTGGAGACACTAAATAGCATCATGGGTAGAAAATAAAACCTGCATAAATGGCTTCTTTAAAAAACCCTATGTCTCTCCAAATGAATTCTATTTCTAAACAGGAAGGTTGTAAAATCTTCCAAGTTATTTCATTTTCTTACATTCTTACTGTCATGAGTATCTATTAATGCTAATGATTCTTTCAGTTCAGAAATTTTTATTTTTAAATTTCAGCGTATTTTGATTTCCTATTTAGCTTAATTTATCTTGGAAATAATCACCTTTTTGCACATAATTACCTTGAAGTAATTTAGCATTATCTTAACTCCATTTAATTGCAAAACACATTTTATTACAATTCAAATAAACAATATTTAATTTTTGAAAGCAATTTTTTTTACAAATCATTAAACATTTTTTAAATAACTTAAGCAATTTTATTTTTCAATGAGTTTTTTCCTCTTGACTTATTGAAGTATCACATTAAAATACATTATAGCTAAATGTTCTATAACATTATTGCTAAATCAACAGAAAACCAATTGATCTCAAGGAAAGGTTAATTAATTTGGGCTACAGGTCTCCTACTTTGGTCTGCATTGAAAGGAATTTGTATTGATCACTGCAGTTTTTTGCAGAGAAATTTAATAAGCATTTTTGTGGAATTGAGGTCAATTTTTTAAATGCCAAAACAAGGTTTTAAAATTTTATCACTCCAGGAATTTTTTTTCTGTGATGGCTCATTCACATGTTAGACTCCTGAGAAAAATAACATTTTTTATACTTTCAGTTAAACAAGTCTGGTATCTAGCCTTCAGAAAAGGAAAACTGAAGTTAAGAACTTGAATACGATTTTGTTTATTTTAATCCCTCCTCCCGTATAATACTCACCAGTTTATTCTGCTATGAGTGGGATCACGAAGGGACAATGGAAATTAATATTTATCTTTGATTTAAACACTGTATTTGCCATCACGTTGAAAACGGACTGAGCTACCTTCCACTTGCGAACACTTCTGAGTTGTTCAGCGTCTGCTAAATAGGACTGGGGAGCTTTTCCTCTTCCCTGTCTTTGGTTGTCTTCTCTTTTTATCGCATTAAAAGTGTTTCAGACCTGCACATCCTAAGCGCAAGGTGAATAGAACCCCCCTCGCCCCCGCACTGCCCTCTTTCCCCGAACACTGTCCCCCTCTTTTCTAAGTGTTTGCTCGGTGGCGTTGTCAGTGGATCGGGGGCCTCCGAGCTTTGCGCTCGGGTCAGTGGGAAGGTTTTCCCTGGTCGCTCGCTCCCTCCCCTCCGGAACCCCCTCCCCGACCCCTCCCCCACCTCGGGGGAAATTCCTAACTAAAGCGATCGGGGGGACCTCGGCTGAACGGCCAGCATCCCCTTTCCGGCCCTCGTCTGCCGCTGCACTCGAGGTGAAGAAACTTGGAGGTGTCGTGACTCAAGGGGGGACGGGCGGGCGGGCGGTCGCGGGAAGGCGGCGCGCTCCGGGACGGTCCCCGCGCTCCGTCGGAACCACAGCTGCTGTCCTGCTGGCCCTGGGCGCGGCGCCGCAGCCGCGGGCGATCCGGCGCTTGTGTGTCCGGGTTTCCGAGGAAGGGATTACTCAGCGGGAGCCGCCGCGGCAACTCGGGCCGCTGGGGCCGCAGGAGCGGTGACGAGGCGCCCGGCCTTCTTTGTTGACTTTTAGGTTTCGGGCTCAACGGAAGATTTATTCGCTAGGAGGGGAACATGCCAAAACAATGAAGAACTAACTGCATTTGTCACCTCGAGATGCTTGCAGTCCTGTTCTACCCCCTTTCCCCGGCAACTAGCTGCCCTGGCCCCCCAACCCGTGCGCGTCGTAACGCGCGGGTCGCAGGTCGTGTCGCCCAGAGGTGGCAGAGAGCGCGGTTTGAGAATCGCGTGACAAGTCCACGAGGCACGAGCTGGGCCTGCAGGCGCCTTTGCGCTGAGACCTGACCCGCTCCGCGCTCCCCGCCGCTCTAGCTTCTCAGGCAGGACTCCAAATGGCCTTGTCGCCTCAAGCTCAGAAAAGTCTCGGCCAAGAAAGAGAGCAGCAGCTAAGTCCTACGTGAAGCCTGGTGGGGTGAAGGCAAGACGGTGAGAATGTGCTGGTGTGTTAAAGAGGCGGAAGGGACCACCACGGAGGGGACAGCACAAAAGTTGGACACTGCGGATTCAGTCAGGCTGGGTAAAATACCCGAGCTCATGCCCTTAATTTGGAATTCGAATTTGCCAATGTTTGTTTACCCTATATAAATATGAATAGCTTCTGGGATCGAAAGCTTGTTCCCCTCTTTGGGATTTTAACGTCCTTCTGAGGCCTCCAAATTACGTTTTGAAATTACTCAAACTAGTAATTTCCCTCCCTTCCTTCTCTCATTAGCTAAAGCGAGAGCGGGTTTAGGATTTCTGAATTTTTTTCAAGTGCTACATGGCACCCCTTCTCTCATCTGGGGAGGCAATTACGCGATAACTAAGAGACTCACGCAGCTCTTTTTATCTTGTCCGCGGTGTGGAGTGGGGCGATCAAAGCAAAGGCTGTCCAAGTTCAAGCCCCAGTGAGGATGCAGTTCGTACACAAGGGCGCAGGCAAGGCCAGCCCCGGCTTGGGTTGGTGTTGTTATTGTTGATGTCAATCCGAACAAGTCTTACAAAGAAATAGGTGGACTGGAAAGTGAGCCTACTATCAAAGGAGATTAATGATTTTGTGATCCCAAGCAACTATGGGGTGTGAAGTTCCATTTAGAAGCTTCTTAGAAGGCAAACAAATCATCAGCTTTAAGATCTTAGGAACGATATTTTTAGAAACAATTTCATAAAAAATAGCTTCACAAAATGCAAGATAGCAGCTATGCTGAAATGTCGTGGAGACACAAAGCTTCCCCTGCAGGAGTGAATGAACTGCCGGTCCTCGGCCCCCTCCAAAGCTACCAGGACGAATAAGTTTTGTTTCTCTTTTAATGTGAAGAAGGTTCAGGAGTCTTTGCTGTAGACAACTTAATTTTATCAGTCACAGCTAATATTTTATTCTCACTTGAATACTGCTCAGAAAGAGGAAAATGATACATTGGGGAACGGCAAAAGGTAGTTAAATTAATAATATTTGATTTTGTAGTGAAAAGTCTGAAAGGAAACACAGAAGGCTTAAGCCCATGTTAAAATGAAGTAAACATTACTGGGAATAAAAAAAAACTTAAAAATCTCAATTCCTGGAATATTAAATCAATGTATCTGCTCATTTTAATTGAATTTCTTTCACTGCTTTTTACTAGCTACATGTATATTTAAATCATAGACAAAACAATTTTGTTTTAGATTATCTTCCTTTTTGTCATTTATGTTCAGCTCCAGAATTTGAAGAATATCATGTTCAGAATATCCACTTTGGATTTAATTAAGTTAAGGAAAATAACAGAGATCCTTTTTTGTTAACATTTGATTTATTTAAAGTCCTTAATTGCAAATGATCAAGAACATATTCCACGGCTTAAAATCTGGTATTACTTTTGTTATTTAAATCAAAATATTTTTAATTACAATCACATTGATAAAAATTAACATTTTAATTTGTAATCTTAACCATCATTTAAAGCAATTTCAGCTGTAAAGAAAAAGAATAAACCATGCAATAAATTAACATTGAGAAAAGCAAAGAGAAATAATAATCAAACTCGTCTGGCTATACTAACACCATGTCCAACTGTGGAAAGTGCATTAACACTGGATAAAACAAACACACAATGGCAATAATTAAGATGGCCACAATCAATAGGATTTTGGAATATTAGAACAAGTTTTGAAATACGGTTCCCTATAACTTATCTCTCCTCCAACACTGTAATATTCCCATTTTTTCTGAAAAAAAAACTTTAAATGGGACACACTCATAGAAGCGAATTTTACACGTTATGTGACCTCAGAATGACATGACCATGGCACTCTGCAAAGCAAGAAGCAGAGTTCTTGAGGAGAGCGATTCCTGAGGAATTGATTCTCAGGGCCATACGTAGGTAAAGAGGAAAAGGGGGCTGGGGTCCTTAAACTCCTCCATCAGGAAACTCTTGAAAATGTAGCATGTATATCACCTATTACCTCTAGCTATATGTTATGTAAATATATGGAGGATGTCTACATATCTGAGCAGGTGCATAATTAAGTCGGTACTCAGTATATATGTATTTCATTTAAAGACATCAGCTATCTGTATCAGAAATGTAAACTGAAAAATGGCTCTGATGTTTATAATCTGTTTATGTCCTGCTGCGTAACAGCAGTATTATCTTTCAATACTTTTAAGAGCCACTAGTGTCTACTTGTTTCTCTACCACTTCAATTCTTATGGTTAAGAGTATTGCCACAGACCTGTAAACTCATGGGGGGGGGGGGTCAGGAAAGGACGGGAAAAAAGCACAAACAAATATTTTACAAACTTGACCATCTTTTTTTTCTTTTTCTTTTTTTAAATAAACCCTGCCAGACTGGAATGTAGAATGTATCTGGAGGGGAAAGCGGGAAGGAAGGTGGGGGACGGAGGTGGGCAAGGAAGGAGGAGGATTTTCTATATACACTTGTAGATCATTAATCTTTGCAGGAAAAATTTTTGTTGGTTTGGGCTTGGTTGTCTTTGTAATAATATACATAGCGAGTTTTGAATACAATAATAAAGTAACAGTCCTTTGCACTGGGGGAAAGACTGTGCAGGAAAAATGAAATAATAGATGTAGGGATTTTATTATGCTGTTGTCGGTTTGGTGTGTGTGGTTTTGTTTGCTGTTGATTTTTTCTCTCCTCCTATCAGCATGACCAGGCCAGACAAACCCCCAGTTGGGGGAGCTAGGAAGTGTTTAGGACGGGTCTGGAATACACACCTTGGTAGTAGGCCGGCTCCAGGGCTGAGGGCTCGATGGGGCTCCTGGTAGCCACGGAGGCGCTGCCGAGAGGCAGGCTGGCGGGCAACGTGGCGCCGTAGGGCGAGTACTGCAGTGCCTGCTCGTATGCCTTGAAGTCCAGCTTGTGCTGCTGCTCCGAGGAGGACATGAGGTTGTTGATGGAGAAGGGGTGGTTGAAGGAGTAGTGCGGGTCCCCTTTCAGGTGCAGCTGGGACTCGTGAGGTGCCAGGCCATGCGCGGGATGAGAGGGGGGCACAGATGCCAGCGCCCCGGGCCCAGAGCTTATGGGGGGCGCAGACGAGGAAGCTGGAGTCTTCAACTCCGAGGCGCCCCCTGTCGCCGTCGCCCCGTTGTGGTCCAGAGTCTGGGGGCTGGCGGCGGGCCCGGGGGCCGGCGCGCCCTCTAGCTGGCCGGCTTTACCGTGCACACCCCGGTGAAGGGGCGAGTCGGCGCTGGGGTTAGCGGCGCCCGAGGGGTCCTTGCGGCTGTCGGGGCCACCCTTGGCGCCGCCGCCCCCGCTCCCGCCCCCGCCGCCGGCCCCGGGCTGCTTCTCGCACTTGAAGCGCTTCTGGCGGCGCAAGTAGCAGCCGTTTTCGAACATGTTGCCGGAGTCCGGGTGCAGCGTCCAGTAGGAGCCCTTGCCCGGCTTGTCCGGAGAGCGCGCCACCTTGACGAAGCAGTCGTTGAAGGACAGCGAGTGGCGGATGGAGTTCTGCCAGCGCTGCTGATTCTGCCGGTAATAGGGGAAGAGGTCCATGATCCACTGGTAGATCTCGCTGAGCGTGAGCATCTTGCTGGGCGCCTGCTGGATGGCCATGGTGATGAGCGAGATGTACGAGTAGGGAGGCTTGGCGTGCGGGTAGCTGCGCTTGAACGTCTTGGCGTCGCCGCCGCCGCCTCCCGCGCGGCTGCGGCCCAGGTTGGACGGCGCGTACGCCATGGGGCTCATGCACGGGTTCATGGCGGCCGCGTAGGGGCCCAGGCCGTTCATGGAGGCCGCCGGCTGCGCGCCCATGGCACCCATGCCTCCCGGGCTCAGCGCCGTCCCCATGGCCGTCACGCCCGCCGCCGTCATGCTGTTCATGGCCCCCGCCGAGCCCCCCGGCATGCCGGCTACGGCACCGGGACTTAGGCCGGCGCCCAGGCCTGGGTTGGCGTAGGACATGTTGAAGGAAGCCGGGGTCATGTTGCCGCTCGTTGTCATGGTGTTCATGGTCATGTAGGTGTTCATGGAGTTCATGGAGCCCAGGCCCGAGTTCATGTTGCTGACCGGGACGGAGGAGTAGGCCTGGAGCGGAGACAGCGAAGGAAGAGGCCCGGAAGGGCGGGGTTAGCGGTCGGCGCACCGAGGCGGGCGGGAGGCCGGGGGCGAACCAGGGGGCAAGCGGACAGCATTTCTGCAAAGCCCGGACCCCCCCACCTGGGCCAAACTGTTAGACGCCCTCCCCATACCGAGCAAAGATGTCTTGCATGGCAGGGGGAAAATCCTAGCGCGGCAGGCATGAAAGACAAGAGCTCATAGAAAATATGTCCCCGGGAAGATGTGTAATCGCCTTACACGCCAGGCTCAGGGCTGGCTTCCAGGCCCCTTCATCACCTCCTCATCCACACCAGGCGGTATCACAAGTGTGCACCCCAACCAGCCTCGGCAAAGTGCCCTTTGGAGCAAATCGTCTTTAAAACTCCGAAAATATAATTAATCTCTGACCCTCTGCTTATTCACTTCACCCTAAAGGTGCGGTGGGTTCCGTGGCGCTGGCCTGCTGGGCAGGCAGCGGGGCACCAGCTCTGTGCCAGCTCACTCGAACCTCTCAGGCCCAGTTGACCACACAGCGGTCTCGGTTGTGCGAGGCGGCTGTTAATGAAATTCCCCGATAGAGCAAATCTTCCATGGACATAAGACCCCCTGAATCATTCACTTCCCAACAACCGGCTTTATTTATTGCCTTAGGAGTTTTTGTCAAATGACTTTTTGTTGTTTAGAAGTAGTAGTTTCTACCCACTTGTAGCAAATGTAATATTAAAAAATAAGCAAACTCAGTAGTTAAACAATTTTTGGAAAAATAAAACTAAAAATGGGTCTACAACAGAAGGGGCTGGGAGGGGTGCATGATATCAATGCACTACATACATTTAACATGACTTTACATGTACACCTCTGCAAGCCATTCAAAAACATGCATTAATTTTGTTAACTACTTGCACTCCCCCAGATTTGAAAATTTTAGTGACACAGTTGTGAAACTAACCATCTATTTTTTCACATACTAATATGTTAATGCTGATCATTTCGAAGCCTGGCCTTTGAAACTACATGAGTAGTTTTGAACACTTAAAAGTTCCAAAATCAAACTCTAATTTTCTGCTAATGCCATTCCACTTTCTAATTCTCAGCTTTAACATGTAAGAAAGCTCTTCCACTAGATCTTAATTGACTGGTGAGTCGAAATGACTGCATCAGAATTAAACCTCTGGAAGAGTTCTGAGCTTTTAAAATCACCAACAAGCGAAAACCCTTACTAATAGCAATTTGGGAGTGCACTAGGTATTGTAAACATACAGAGCCTAGAAATATTAAAAATAACTTCTTTGATAATTTAGTAAGAAATGATGTCCTTAACTTTATTTTCATCGGCAAATATGACTCCGTTTGCAAACATAACAGGTAAACAGATTTATATAGGAACACCCTGTAAACTCTGGTATAAACTGAAGTAAATTTATGAATATAAATATATAAATCTAAACTAATTTTAGATTTATTTAGATGCCATGAAAAATATTTCTAATTCTATATTTTTCTGTACACGTCTTAAAGTAGTTTTTACTTTGGGTTTTTTTTTTTTTTCTTTCCCTCTTTCCAAGATTATAAAAAGCAGTTTCAATAAGCATTTTCAATAATGGCAATTAAACTTTTGGGGGGTGATCGCCAGCCGTTCCAGAAGAATACTTTTAATAGATGGTGGTCCTGCCTGTACCTGGTTTTCCTCGCAATCCTTTTGTGCGCATTGTAAAATAACTCCCATGAACGTGCCACCAAGGGGACAATGAAGAGAAACAGGTTTTCGGCCCGAGTTCTGGAAGAAGATTCGGCTCGCACCAGCGCCACCCAGCGGTTCTAAAGTAGAACGAGCACACTTCACCCCAAACAGGGCTTCAGAATAAGTTTTATAAAACCTTAGTTTTTTAGAAATCGTTTCATTATTAAGACGCCCAACCTAGTGGCGGAGCGCCTTCATCAAAAGGACTCTGATCATTGAACGGCGGGCGAAGAGGCCGCCGTGCGGGCGTGCTCCGACGCTCTCAGAGTTGCTTCCAACTCGTGCCGGCGCCCGCCCGCCAACTGCGGCACCCCGGGTCCGGCCCCGGCACTCCGCCGGGAAGAGGCAAGTGCTTCCCAGAACGGGTGTGTGCAAAGCTCAGAGTTTCCTAAAACTAGCTCGCCCGCTGGGAGCACCGGAATCCAGTGGGGAAGCAGGTCCGGCTCCGGGCCCGGCCAAGGCCGGGCCGGGGCCACACCGGGCGGGAAGGCAGCCGTGGCGCGGAGGAGGCGCCGCCAGCCCACCAGCCGTCCGCCCTGCCCGGCGCCCACCTCGCCCCAGCCTCTCCCGGCACGGGCTGCCGGAGCGCCCCGCCCGCTGTCTGCCTCTCACCTCCTGCGTGTCCGTGTAGTAGCTGTTCCAGTCGCTGCTCTCGTGCCCTTCCATCTTCACAGCCCCTAACATCCT